CGATCTCGATCTTGACCGACCTCGATCCTGATTGGTTTCTGGAGCTTGAGCTCGTTCTTGGCCGATCTCTATTTGTTCGACCTCGATGTCTCGAGCTCGATCTTGGCCGATCTCGATCTAGATTGGTTTCTGGGGCTCGAGCTCGACAACCAAACTCTGCATCATGGCTCGATATTACAATGACAAACCTTGATCCATCATGTCCCAATCTCGAAGGGCAAACCCGGTTTTGACCATATACATTTAGGTAAACACATTTTTTTTTTTTTTTTTAACAAAAAAGGCAATTCTATTAAACTAAGGAATGAGAGCAGTAAAAAAGAGGGTGAGACCTAATTTAACATTCCAGATATGAAACATATGCTATAATGCTAAACATTCAACTTTGACAGCAGATGTTCCAAGATCTATTTTAAAAAATGGAGAAATAACTCAATTTAAACGACTGTGTAATGTATTGACATTAATAAAGATTAAAGAGCAATCTGTCTCTACTTTGCTTCAGTAATCACCATGTTACCTAACCATTATGTTTGTTTTTGAGTTGCTATTTTGCCAATTGAATTCATACCAGGAAAAAGGCAGTCTAAAATAATACAAGTATATACATCTATTAGTCTTCCAAATTTGGTAAATCACATACTGGACTTCCAAGTTCCGATTAAATCCCGACCAAAATTAGGTATCACTTGTCATGTACAACATATTACTCCTTAGCTTATAACTTTGTTCAAAAATGGATGTGATAGGCCAACATAGGAATACTAACGAAAGTAAGAATTACGAGTGGAATGGTAAGTATCAAATATTTAGACTTTGAGTCCTAGTGTTAGACCCCAACATGTGAAGGTTGAAAGTTTTATGATGCTTTGTGTACAACCAATCAGATGGTGACACATTATCGGGGCAAAGAGGTGATTGTATGTGACCAGATTGCGCCAGCTGTCCCACCGGGCGCTGTAGCCAGTGCGGGGCAACTCATTTTGCATGTAGCAGCGACGGAATTTCTTAGATTTGGTGTGATATCTATAAAGGCAGTGTAACTCTTTCTCACTCAATCTAGAAACTACCACCAACATTAGTTCTTCCAAAATGCTCTCAACACCCTCTTAGAATTTTCAAAGCAGTCTAAGGCAATCAAAAGTGTATATAGTAGGATCTATCATGAAGGAGCTTGGAATTGTCACTGGAATATTTATTATCTCGTTACACTGATTTTGGAGATTTGTTGGAGGCAAAATAACCATCATAGAAGCGTAACTAGCTCTAGAACAAGATATGTAAGACGGCTCTCTTTATTGGCATGATTTATGTAAGCGTATCTCTTTCTAAAAAGGATCCATGTGTGGTAAGATTTGTTTGTTCTAAGTTGTTCTCAGCAACGTTGCCCCTGCTCTCATGCTTTCTCATTGGTAACATTTCTATCAGGTTTGTATTGTTTCTATATAATGTCCCAAACATGGGCAGCTTAACGGATTACGTGGCCCAAAACGAAACTATATTGCGAGACTTTTAAATTTATTTTATAAGATATTTACACTAACAACAAAAATTGCTTTCCAAACAAGAAATTAATCATTTTAGACAAAAAATTGCTAATTTTTTTTTTAAAAATGAAGAAGAGCACGAAAAATAAGTGGTGGACTATCGGGTTGAGGTCCAACAATTTTGATTTGGCTATCATCATAGACAAGAAAAAGAAATAAACGTACATAACGTAATAACTTAAGTTTTGAGCATTAACGATGTCAAAAATATTTACTCATTTTGATCAATTTAAGTAATAGTTGCAGTTCATTCTATTAAGTAGCACTTATTGATAAATATCTAAAATAAATTGTAAATAACCTAATATAATATGTCGAATTATACTAAAAGAAAACCGATGCATGGATACTTTTTTGTTCATGCAGTTTCAGATAATATTGTAAAAGTAATTCATTATGTTGTCGATATATATAACTTAATTCCTATATAAAAAGAATAAAATTAAAATTGAAGAGTAAAGCAAATATACTAATTAATCAGTGAAAAAAATTATCATAATTTATAAACTTATTGGTATAAAATAACCTCAATCAAATAATAAAAAAATATATTGTATCACTTTTCTTTATGGTAATAATGTATGTAAATTATGTAATATATAGTAATAATAATAAGAATTTAAAATAAATTTGAGGCCTTTAAATATTGGAGGTCTAAGGCAACGACCTCACTGTCCAAGCCTTTAGAGCCGCTCCTGGTCCCGAAGTCGGAGAAATATGATTCATCCTAAATTTCATCTTAGTGTCTCTTGAAATTGACTCTACATTGTACTCNACACACACACACACACTTTATTGAGTCGCGCTATAGCCGGTCGGGTACGGTCGAGCCCTTGTGTGACTGGGTACGACCGAGTCCTCTAAGAGGTCGGGTACGAAGTAATATGATATAAAATATTATCGAGCCCTTGTGTGGCCGAGTACAATCGAGTCCTCTTGAGACCGAGTACACCCGAGATCCCTTGAGGCCGGGTACGGTGTGATAATAAGATAAACTTTACCGAGTCCTCTACGAGGCTGGGTACGATATGAATGATATGCCCCAAAGAGTGTCTGAGTAATATTCTATTACATCTAATGCATAATCTCCATGAGTGGTTTAACCTTTCATAAAACATGCATACTTCTAAGTTTTATAGTTTTTACAGTTTACTCCCCGGTGGCTTGTATTTAATATAAGCATGTATTCACATCTCTTATATTATGTCTTGGGCTTACATATCTTCTTAGTCTTACATATTCAGCACATTTCCCGTACTGACGCCCCATTTTTCCTTTGGGCGCTGTGTTCATACCCACAGGTAAAGATAGGTCTGGCGATGTCCCTTCCCAGTAGGTGCGCGTTTCAGCTGTTAGTTGTCGCACGCTCTCCACTTATCCGGAGTAGATGTTTAAGAGTCAATAAGTACTGAAGTATATGTTTTAATCATTTTGGATACGGTAGGGCAGTGTCCCGATCAAGTTGTGTATATGTGTATATTTTTATTTCTTTTGGTACCGTTAGAGGCTTGCTGACTTGAGTTTGGTTGGACGTAGAAGGGTGGGGCATGACCCGATTACAATTGTGAACATGTATGATATGTCAATGTTTGTTTTGCAAGTCAGCTGTACGCATTTTAATTCTGGTATTAGTATATGAAGGCCTTGTTGGCCCGGGTTTCATGGTTAAGAAGATGTAAAGTATGAACGTCAGTTCGCACAAGCCTTTGAACGTTGTGTGTAGGTCGCACCACCTAAGGTTGGGATGTAACACCTAAGTACGAGATTGCTTTTCTTTGTGAGTGTTTTGAGATTTTTCGGCTCAAATTCGAATTTAGTCAAGTGAAAAATCAATAAAAGAAACGCTATTGGGTCCCACAAAGTGGAGTGGTCGCAGCCGGCTTTGAAGTCATGTGTCACATGCGTGTCTACTGACTCCTCTGTCACGTTAATTGGAACCACCTTACTCTGTGTGTGTGTGTCTGTACGTGTGGACCGGATGCTTATCATCATTATATTATATCATGGCCACATGTTCAATCAATTAGATTACCAAATTTTCCTCGTGATTCTTCACGTCTCATCCATCTCCTTTGCCCTTTTTACTAATTAATAATTAAAAAAAGTGATTTGTTGAGAGTTTGGGTTCCACTCATAAATGTCATTTTTTGGGTTGGATGGTTGTTGGCCTGGCTAGGACCGACCACCACCTGCAATGCAGACAAGAACCCCTTTGGAAGTAACTATGGCATCATTCCAACTTTACTATTATACCCTTTCTAGCTACTATGTTCCCATTCACTTACCTATCTAAAAATTGTCCCAATATTAATTAAATACCCCATGCCTAGATTTAGTAATTTGCCCGCTAGCGAAATAGCTTTGAAGCAATGATATACTAAATTCTTTGGATTTAAAATGCCATTTTTTTTTCAAAAATAGTGTAGTTGAGCCAGTAATTAATCCAGTAGATAGGAATAAGCCGATAACAAATAAAAAATAATCAAATTAGGATTGCATTTATAAGTGTTACATACGATACAATGAGAGGAGTAAAGGCGATTGATATTTAATACAAAAACTCATATAAGTGTTATGGTGAGCGAGTGTCTTTGAGATGAATTTTGGGAAGCTCGTTACCACTATTAAGAGGAGCAAGGGCGGAGCTAGAGCTTCAGACGCGGATTCGGCCGAATTCAGTAGTTTTGATTCATATTCTATATTTGCCTTTAAAAATGTATTGAATATGTACAAATTATTAATTTAGAACCCAGTAACTTAGAATGAATAAAATCTCGAACCCATTAGCTTCAAAATCCTGGCTCCACCTCTAAAAAGGAGTGGCCAAAGGACGATGATCAAACATATTTGGACGGGGCAAGAGATCTAGGGCATATTTCTAACGAAAGATAAGACAATGCCTTACACTACCATACCAAGAAAGTAGTGGATAAGACCCAAGTCTTTCATATTTTATGAGTATGATGAACAATTGTGAAAGAATTTATCAAAAATATTTTTATTAATCAATAACGAAAATTGAAGGCTTAAAAATGATAGGCCCAATCCATAAATTATATTGATCTTTAATTGAATTTTATTGTTTTTCTTAACGATATTCTATGTTTATTGAATTACATCCTTTTTAAATAGAATTAAAAATTTATCACCAATAAAAATAAAATTTCTTCAATTTTTTATAATTGGTCTAACTCCAATAAATCATTTATTAATTTAGAGGTAACTTACCTGCACTGCCAATTTAGATTGACCACAAACTTTCAATTTATACTCGTGATATATGTACCAAGAAAAAATAAGAGATAATAGGTGATTGATTAGGTACCCTATTAGGTGTAACATATTGGAGAGTTGGGGGGAGGGCGAGGGGTAATAAGGTGAATTCAATGGAGCAGAACGTAACCGAAATAAATTAAAAAACTGGTGGGAAAACGAAAAGAAAGCTGCCAAAGACAAGAGTATTATGAAAGAGAAAGTGAGAGAGAGAGAGATTATACTAACAAGGCAAGGAAAAGGGCAAGATTTCTTCAACGAGTCTTGTGATTTGCATCACCAACACCAATTCCAACGCCAAAACCAACGAATGGAATCGTTTTTCTTAACCGAAACCTTTCCCCACAACTATTACACCACCACCACTTCTCTCCATCTACTGTTATTATTATTATTATGCTTCTTCCTAATCCTCTCCCCCACTTCTCTTTCCTCTTTTCTCTCCCTTTCTTCCTCTTCTCCACTATTTCTTCTTACTAATAATCGCTCTTTCAGATCTGCCGCTACTTCTCTGACATTTCCAGTTTTTGAGGTACCCCATCTGTTTTTATTCTTATTTTCTGGGCACTTTTTAAATTTTCTGTTGTTTTTATGCCCATTTTGGGACATGGGATGTTCGTTTTTATGTTTGCCGAGTCGATCGATCGCATGTATTTCATTTGTGGAACCATTGTTAGGGTTTAGCCTCTAAAAGGGTATCCACTTGTGGTTTTTTAATAGTTATTAACTCTAGAGGTTGTAGTTTATTGAGATTCTGTTGATCCTACTATAAATTTTCAGGAATATGTTTGGAGAAGGAAGTAAAGGCAACACTTTGTTTCCAGCATTATTCGAGGGGAATTGTTTTCAGTACGACGCGAGTGCATTACCTCAGCTGCAATTGTTTGGTGATTGTGAGTTTCCCAATTGCTTCTCCACAATAATTTTACATCCTTCAGACTCCAATAAGAATTTTTGTTTTGCAATATAACAAGTACTCACTAATTTGATTCATGATTTTCCTCTTTTATGTTGCTTTTTTCTGCTTGATTTTTCGTCAGGAATCTGGTAGATTGATTGTTAATGCAGTCTCTATGTTTTTTTTTTTTTGTGTCTGTGTGTGTCTTTGAATTTCCATGTTCAGCATGGCTTTGCATAACTTTCTAGTTCTTGAATTAAAGCAATTCCAGAAGGTTGATACGAACTGATCTGTATTAGTGTTATGGCGACTCCTCCGAGTGAAAACTAGGCCATAGGCTTGTATTGCACCTCTGCCAGATGAATTAAAATTGTTCCAGGGCATAAGTGGAGAGTACCTTGTCTTTGTGGTTGTTCGGCACCTCCAATGCCTAAAGCCTGAGGTGAGGCATTGGCACTTGGTTGAGTGTCTAATCAGGAAATCCTAGAGAATTAGAATAGACAAGTTGCACCAGTGGCTCATGATAATGATCGCCTGCACTATTAGCATTCTCTTCAACGTCTTTGGTCTATCATGTTGAGACCTAAAATTGGGTAGAAAGAGGAGACAGGAGAAGAAGCCAGCATGTAGGAAATACATTTCACGACTATATGTTGGTGAAGGTTTTGAGCTTATGCTGATTTTATAAAATCTCTCTTTACGTGGAACCATTCTAGGAGATGGGCCGAAGACTTGTTTTAATGTAAATTTGAAGAATGCAAGGAAGACATTAAATGATAGGTGTCTGTTGTTCTTGTTCAGATCACTTGAGGAAACTGAGATCGTCTTTGTTGTTTCTTTCTTCAGCTTTATCTTTTAGATCTATTTGATTTTCGTAGACTTTAAACATGTCTTGCATATCTCAGATTAGAGTGCATGTAACCTTTTGCGAGATATCTTCAGACAGTTGAGTAGCTCATGCTAAAACCTAGAGCTTTTTTAGTCTGAATATGTCATTATGTTTTTGTGACTTAATTCTATTTGAAACAAAAGTCCAAATAATGAGTTGGGAATTGTTGTCTGGAGCAAACGATTCGAACTCGAGGTAAAGGAGGGTTGGGTATTCATTCTGTCCCTTCCGCTCAATCTTATTTGTTACTTCCATGAAATAAATCTTTATCTGTAGCTGTTAGACGAGGTTCCATTGGTGTATTAGTTGTGGCCGGTGAACGGTGAGCCTTGCAACTGTCCAGAAAAGGAAATAGTGACTGTATGGCCAGAATGTCTTCAAGATGAAGCACATTCATATTCTCTTATTATTTTCTACCATTTAAATTTAAGGACTCTGTTCGATATGATACCTGATTTGGGACAGTATCATTTTGATATCTGACCAATAAAGGTACGCGCTACACACAAACAGTATGCAACTTAGTCACTTCTGGGTAAGGGGGCAATGGAAAGAGTACCGTTAATGCTTATGATGATGTCAATACTCACTCTATTTGTTATTCTGATTATGTATATGATACTTGTTTTATATTCAGAGACAGTTAATTAGTGTACTTAGCTAAAACTATTACTTTATAATTTGTACTACTACCGTTCCATAAGTACTACTTTCTTGGATTATGAATATTTAAGAAGTCAAATTTTATGTGCCGAATGTATCTTCATCCTTTTGTCAAAAGGTAGAGGTCTTTGCTTTTATCTAACTCAGGCATGGTAG